AAAATTTTCGGGTTTCACTCACAAGCCAGGTTGGATTCTGGTAACGTGCCTAAATAAGGCAAGCCAGGACTGGATTGTGGGTGAGATCGGAAAACTGAAACCCTGGCCGGAATCAGAGCTCTCGGTAATACCCGAAGGCGAATTGCCTAAGCCTCAGCTGAGCATTACGTATTTGCCCCGCAGCGAAGCTGACTCTCCGGAGGTGGCGGCTGTGCTGTTGAGGTCGCAAAAAGAAAGGCACCATACCGAGCTCTAGAGAATCCTCCATCGTAAGGACGAGGAGAATGAGTTCCTGGTAACCTTTTCTCTGGACGAACCATCGGCGGGGGCTCTTCGGAAGGCAGGCGGGAGAGTCGTCCTTAGCTTTAAAATGATAACTTTTAAAGTCAGGGGAGGCTTTAACGTGGCAATGGAGCCTGAACCGCCCCAACTCCGATCCCCCCAGTCCTCCACCTCTCGAGGTGAGACTGGAACGCCATCAGTGAGAGTGACGAATACCCAGGGCGCTGATCTCGCCTCGGTCTGACGGCCTCCGCTGGTGTCATCCAGGAGTGTGGGGAGGGGAGGTAGGAGCAGTACAACGAAAGGTAAGGCGGGGTTCAAGACTGCCAGTCAAGGACGTCTTCGTCCTCAACTGGCGGAGAAGACCCCTGCCCACCCCCAAACGCCCATAAATGGCTAACCCAAAGGTTAAGACGAGGGTCCTCCAGGCAAATCTTCACCATGCAGCGGCTGCTTCTGCCGTGGTGGAGGTTTGCTTTGCAGAGGACAATATTGACCTCGCCCTTATACAAGAGCCTTGGGTGGCCAACGGTCAAGTTCTGGGATTGTCGGCTGCCGGTAAGATTCTTGTCAGTACTAAAGGCAGAGCTTGTATAATTTACAATAAAAATATTGAACTTTTAGCTGTTCCAGACTACTGCAATGATGACCTGGTTACAGCCTTCATAAATCTCAAGGGATGCACAGGGGCCAGAGTAATCATTTGCTCAACCTATCTTCCCGGAGAGAACTCAGATCCTACCATCGAGTTAGAGCGAGTGGCGGAGTTCGCCCGAAAACACAACGCCGAACGTGTGGTGGTTTGTGAAGCTAATGCTCACCACACAGCCTGGGGAAACACTAACATCAACGAAAGTGGTGAGCTACTCTATGATTTTCTCATCTCTAACCGCCTGTTAAGCCTAAACTTAGGGTGTACACCAACCTTTGTTACGCGAGCTAGGCAAGAAGTGTTAGACATAACCTTCGCTATTAATAACATATCCAGGCGGATAAATGACTGGCATGTTAGTAGTGAAAACTCGATGTCTGATGAACTATGAAACCGTTACTTTTAGGTATCCAAAAGCAACCTCCTGGGATCTATAGAGATAACCTAAGGAGGAATTTGGAAACGTTTCCTAAAAGCATCAAAACGATTGAAGGTCTGGAGTTAGCGACGGAGACAGTAACCGTAGGTATTCGTGAAGCCGTCGAGGACACTTGTCCCGTCAAAACCAAGACCTCAACACGAAAAGTTCCTTGGTGGAATACTAAGCTAAAAGAACTTAGGGAAAACACCAGGAAACTATTTAATAGGACTACGAAAACCAAAGATTGGGATATTTATAGTGCAGCCCTAACTGAATATAACAAAGAAATTAGAAAAGCCAAGAGAGCATCGTGGAGAAAGCTATGCGAGGAAGTTGAGTATTTGCCTCGCAGTACAAGACTACACAAAATGCTATCGAAAGCGAAACCTAACCAGATCGGGCTTCTTAAAAAGCCTGATGGTAACTTCACAAAGTGAAACAGAAACATTGGAGTTACTAGCGTCAATCCATTTCCCAGGGTCACTCAAGACCTCAACCTTAAATTTTTTCAGAGCCCTATGAAGGCCTTGTAATGAGGACTGGTGTAGGGCTGCAAAGATAATAAAGCCAAACCTGGTGCATCCTTTAAACAGTTTAAAACAAGCGGGGAGGATGGAATAATTCCCATCCAACTGCAGATGGGTATTGACATCCTTCTTCCCTATCTGGTGAAAATCTTTAGAGCAAGTTTTGCCTGGGGATATATTCCAAAACGATGGACAATTGTCAAAGTTCTATTTATACCTAAGGCTGGTAGAAAGGACTACGCTTTACCAAAGTCCTTTCGACCTATAAGCCTATCTTCCTTTCTCCTTGACATTGGAAAAGATTATAGATAGATATATAAGGGATGTAGCTCTAGCTACGAGGCCCATACATTACAACCAGTATGCTTACCGCAGAGGCAAATCTACGGAAACAGCCCTGATCAGTGTCATTGACAGGGTCAAAAAAGCACTGGAGGATAAAGAAATAGCTCTTTGTGCCTTTCTAGATATTGAGGGCGCCTTCGAGAGTAGCCCCACATCACTGCTGATTGGGGGCCTAACATCTAAAAATGTTGGCTCCACAACCATCAGATGGGTGAAGTCGATGATTTCAAACAGAAAGGCAAAAATAGCGCTGTTTCAAACTTCGATTGAGGTTACAACTACAAGAGGCTGCCCACAAGGAGGCGTTTTGTCACCCCTTCTTTGGACTCTTGCGGTTGACCAACTATTGTACAAAATGGCAGACTTACGCATTGATACACTGGGTTATGCTGATGACCTTGTGATCATTGCGAGGGGCTTTTGCCAAAGTACTTTATCGTCAATAATACAAAGAGCCCTAAACACCATAAATAACTGGTGTAGGGATAACGGTTTATCAGTTAATGCTGATAAAACTGTTATAATACCCTTTACCAAAAAGAGACGGTTGGACAAGTTAGTCCAACCAAAACTTAATGGTAAAGAAGTACCATTTTCCACCATTACCAGGCGTAACAATCAACCAAAAACTAACGTGGAATTCTCACCTTAGCAACGTATGCCATAAGGCAAAAATTGCTTTAGGTACGTGCAGTCGTTTGGTCGGGAACAACTGGGGCTTGCGACCCAGTATGGTCCTATGGCTGTACAGCAGCATAGTGAGGTTGATTATCACCTACGCCTCTATTGTCTGGTGTAACAAGGCCAACCAAAAGACGACTGCGGACAGACTAATTAGTCTACAAAGGACTGCCTGCTTAATGGCAACTGGAGCTATGCGATCATCGCCTGGAGCGGCTCTTAATGCACTTCTATGCCTAACGCCCCTTGATCTCTATCTAGACAAGGAGGCGAGGGCTAGTTTGTATAACATTAACGACCAGGGCAGTCTGAGCTTGCTCTCCTACAGATTGAGATCCATGCTCGACTGAATTAAGGAATCACCGGTCTTATGCATGATCTCAGATATCATGCGTCCACTACACACTTTTGATAAAAAGTATATAGTGGAATTACCCTCCAGAGAAGACTGGATGGCCAGGTTATCTGTGAGGTCAGTAGCCTCATATGGTATACCGATGGGTCTAAAATGGGCCTCGACGTAGGCTTTGGAATTTACGGGGAACGCCCCAAATTCAAACTTAGCATGAATTTGGCTATCTTCCAGGCAGAAATTTTCGCCATACTTCGGTGTGCGGAAATCAATCTGCAAAAACACTACGTCAACCATATAATTTACATAAACTCTGATAGTCAAGCAGCACTGCTAGCGCTGAGGTCAAACTTAGTGAACTCGAAGCTAGTTGGAGACTGCATGAACCGTTTAAACGCCCTGGGATGTAACAACAGGGTCGTTTTAAGATAGGTTCCAAGTCACGAGGGTATTGTAGGTAACGAATTTGCCGAGAAACTTGCACGGGAGGGCTCTAAGTGCACACAATTCGGACTGGAGCCATTTTGTGGATTCTCAAGAAACCTAGCCCGATTGGCCCTTGAAACTCTTTATCACAAGAAATCACTTAAGATCTGGTCTGACACACCAGGCTTAAAACATTCTAAAACCTTATTCCAGGATTTTGATCGTAAATTCGCTTCATAAGCCCTGGGATTAAGTAAAATAAATTGCGCACTCTTGCAAGAGCCCTAACTGGACACTGTTGTCTTAAAAAGCACATGTCCATCTTGAGACTAAGCAACTCAAGGATGTGTCGGTTCTGTTCCATAACGGAAGAAACGCCTCTACACATGCTATCTGATTGCGGACCCTTAATGCGCAAACGTAACACTCATCTGGGAAACTATGTACTCCGCGCAGAAGAAGTGAAATTGATCACGGCTAAGCAACTCCTTCTATTCATTGAAGACATAGGGCTTGGCCGTGAACTATGGCCATAGCAGCGATCACAATAAATCTTCTAGGTCGCAGTGATACTGGTCTTTTTCCCTAGACCTGCATAGCTGCTCGTACTTAATAAAAAAAAATAATGAAAGTATAAATAAGAGACGTTACAGCGGACGTAGCGTTCATATGCACATCACACACCCGAATTTGGTGCAGCAGATTATCATGGTGCTCATACCTGTTGCGCAAGGTTTAGTCTAGTAAGCTAACCCGTTAAGTAGTCAATTGTTTTATATGATAATATTTTTCCAAAGGCATAGAATAAGTATAAAACTTAGCAAAACTATTTCTTGCATTGCATATGTGCGAAGTTTAAAAGAAAATTGTGCATTATAAATGCATGCATATATTTAGGTACTTGATGCTGTAGGCATCGCAGTTCAATATACAACACAAATATGTTTTATAGAATAACGGTGACAAACGAGCACATAGTCCACCTGATGGTAAGTGGATGTTGTGGCCCATAGACATCCACATTTATCCTAAATTACATTACATAAGAATCTAGTCATCCCTGAGGATTGAGATGGAATGTCTCGTTTCCAGTAAAAAGAGTCTCCGGTTCTCTACACTCACCATACGAAACACAGAAGCATTAAGCTGCTATTTTACGCTGGTATTCTGTGAGAGTGTGCTCTTATCTCGGTCGAGCCGACCCATTCGTGCTGCATGGTAGCTCTACCTCGCAAAGTATTTTGATTCTAGTTACTGTAACAGATATTACTTTGCAATAATACCATTTTATGTTGGCCCCTTTTCAGGTTAACGATGGAAGACATAGAAGGGCGAAGCGTAGCGGTGCAAGCTCTTACTGTTTACAAGTATGTTACAGACGCTCGCAATACTTTTAAAATTATTATAAACATTTTAAAGAAATGAACAACATTTCTTTAAAAAGATTGAAAACAAATAGAGAATTTGTGTTGTTTTATTAAATATTTTTCTTTTTATATTTGAATATATTACTTTCAGGGAAGATTCTGAGGAGCACCCGAATCAGTTATACGATAAAGGCGGTAAGCATTATAAAAAATAATATTACAAAAATGTGAGGGCGTAAACTATACAAAGATCACAAAAACATTTAAAAAGACTTTTTCTATTTGATTCTACTGTTCGGAATAATTACGGCAAGGATAAGTTTGGTTTGCTTAAAGCTTTTTTGTTATAACCATTGTATGTATTACGTTATATAGTTCAGTAAATAAAATATACCATGTGTATGTCGGATGAATTAGCACTTAAGTCCATCTTATTTTTTTTTATAAGTAAGATGATGAGAGAACGACAAACCGGTCCACCTGATGGTTAGTTACTACCGCCAGACATGAATAACTGTAACACCAGGGGAATTGCCGGTGCCTTGCTGGCCTTAAAGTATGTGAGTATAGAAACTATGTGAGTATAGAAACAGTATAGAAGCAGGGAGAATTTTAGAACAAACAAAACCACAAGTTCCTCGAAGTGTTTGAACTGTTTCATTTTGTTAGAATTTTCATAAGAAAATACAAAAATTAATTTATAAAATGTGTTTTCATTCTCTGTAATAAAGTAATAAGCGTTTTTTTACACTTACACGGTTTCATGGAATTTCTGCAAGATACACGTTTACTTAGTGTCGTCTTTGTTATTTTTTATCGAACCAGTTACTTATTATGGTTTGCGCATCGTTTAACCGTATGAGATAACCGTATGTTTATTTTTTACAAAATGATTATATATTAAGGCTTAAATAGTTAAATAGATATACTTATGAAATAATCTGTATATTTAACAAAATTTATTAAGTGTAAGTAAGTAGCTATTGTCGGATAATCTATTCATAAACACTGAAACCAAGCTTTACAGGCAACAATGATCTGCATTATTAATGCAGATACGTAAGGCATTCGTTCATCTCCCTAGTGCGAGTAACACTAAAAAAAGCTGACGAATCGCGTAAGCTTACCGAGGAATATCGTCCAATGTACAGTAGTGTTATAGAAAGCTGGTGATAATGATGCTAATCATCCAAATGGTTGGCTTAGATTAATTGAAATAACACTTTATAAGTTTATAATGAACCCCAATCCTAAGCAAATCTTTTTAAGTGGGTTGCACGCCACAACTGTATTATGGATGCAGCGCGAACGGGTCGGCTTAACCAGCGTTACTTTTCAGATGAAAGTGACGAGAAACAGACACTATTCATTTCGATGGCATTTGGCCATTTATCATAAAGTGAATAGTGTCCCATATGTCAGTCACCCTAGTATAAAAAAGAAATTTATAAATCGTTCCGTGGGAGTTGTAAGACGCGTCAGAGAGAAACTGCAACATGAAATATCATCTTCCTGAGAACAACTCAAAATAATTATAAACCTGCGGTTGTCAATAAGCCAATAAGGCAATAAATTGGGGGAGGCTATGTTCAGCAGAGGACTGGTGTAATGGTTAGATGTAATAGAATATTAGGTTTAAAAACGAGCCAGTAGTTTAGCTGATGGTATATGACTTATGTAGCCTATGTATGTGACTTGTCATTCGTGACTAAAAAGAATACCTCACAGACTGTCGTTGCACTGAATCTATTACCCATCTAACGGAGCAGAACAGTAATTGTTAGTCGCAGTCATAAGAGCGCAAGCGCGAGAGAGTTTACCCACACAAACAGACTTCTAGCCTAGATTAGCACCCTTACCATCTTATAAAACTGGATCATTATTTTTATAGACACACCATCGGAGAAACAGATGCCAAGCCAGCATGGGTGGATAGGAGGTATGCGTGCTCTACGAGATTCACATCTGCGCTTAGTGATGCGTCAACTACGCCAATTGCGTCAAATTGAGCGGGTTAATCGTTCTCTGAAACGGGTGTGCTCTCCCACAAATCGCACACCCTGCGTCAGTTAAAAAATTTAATATTCAATGTTCAACATTCCTTACCTTCAAACATATTATATTTTTCTAAACTATTTAGATGATAAAATTAAGTATATTGAATAAAACTAAATTTACGGATTATATCGCGTTTATTTAACTGGTTTTACTTATTTTTAATCCCCAACGTTTCGGGTGTTTTACAGCAACCATGGTCACGGGGGGGACTCCAGCGTTTTATTCAATGTGTAGTGTTCGCGTAAATTTAAGAAATCATTATAAAATTAAGCGTAACCTATGAGCGTAACCATATCGTTCAGAAATGTGAATTATAGAATATTGTTTGTTGTATAAAAACAAGTAATAAAATAAATTCATTTTAAAAAATCAGAAGCAAATATTTCCAACCAAATACATAACGTAATATTTTGATTCAATAAGTCCTTGTACCGTTATACCAATATATTTTTCTTGAAAGTTTTTGTAAAAAAAATAGTATCTATTTTCCCCAAAATGACACGCTGAAGCATTATCAATTTTCTTATACTTACTTACTTTTTATGTAGTCCGATGTGAAGAAAGGTACGTCAACACAATACTAATAGCTAGCAAAACTTTAATAGAGCAAATTGTGAAACGTGGTTTAAAGTTGCCTCGAGATGTCACCCACTACTTAATAATTATGTAGGCGTCCTACATTTACAAGACATTACATGTTTATTTCTAGTATCACACTATTATATTTATTATTAATATTAAAGAGTATTCATTTTATGTCTTTAATATTTATGTAAAATGTGATGTATTTACATATAACTTTATGTTAACACACACGGCAACAACGAACACGCCGTCGTGACTTATATCGCGAATGGAAACTTACATTCCGAAACCGGTTCCTTTGTTTCCGACGCCTATTTTTTCGACTCACGCACATCGTCCGAGTTCTACGAACCTCCCGCCTAGACATGTGTCAATCATTCATTTTTCGTGACCGAATCATTCTAATACATTTCGTCACGCGTACCGGTACATTCGGATCGATCATTTCAGACTCCAGTATCCTACACTAAAAATAATTCATTCAGATTTTGGTCGGTTTTCGACTTATTCACAAATCACACCATCACTAGTTAAAAAATTTCCGTCAATTGTTTGTGATTGGTCGTACCGGAACATTCAAAATCAGATAATGAACCATCAATACTTTTAAGTACCAGCTCAAACGAAGAAAAAAGATTTCATTAGTGGATGAGAATTGGGGCTTCTGCGTTACTTGCTCTCACTTCGCTCAAGCTATATGTCGCTGAAGGCCCCAATTCTCTCCAGTAGAGACCCAAATTTTTTGTCTAACCAAATTAGTGCCTACATACTCGCAGTTCTATCCCGCGAGAACAAGTGTACTTCCACCACAGAATAAAGAGTAAGGATCAGAGAGAAGCTTCCTAACAACGTCAGCAGAAAAGAAAATACATATATAATAAAATTTACATTCATTTTCACAGGTATCATTTGACAACCCTGTCATATGATGCTTGTGAAAATTTTAAGGAAACAATAAAAATAAAAAATATAAAACAACATATGTGTATAAATTATAACTTATATTAATGTAACAACATGTCTATTAATTGCTCGAAGTCAAGAGCTGTTTCGTATCGATTCATTTTAAACAATAAAGAAAAATATTAAAATATTATATAGTTTATACAACATTGTACAACTTCAGTGCGCCTCTACTACGAGTCTGCGGTCCCTTCACAGCTGCACAACTTGTACATTTGCGATACCAGTTCTCGACATCGTTTCGACAGTGGACCCAGTAAAACCTCTCCGACCATTTTCCTATTTACGGCACAGAACTCCATCCTGAAGCATTGGGCCCAATAGCTTTTCGTGGTCGAACTCACCGCTGAGACGTCACTCCACTTGGGCTTGGGAGCACTGGCATTCATCCATTCCAGAATCGGCTTGATGTCCGGATTCTCCCGCTGTGCATGTTGTAAGCCGTCCTTTCACTCGTTGGTGAGGTGGTCTGTCCTGAGCATCCTCACAGATACCACTTCCTTACCCTCTTGCCTATTACAATGCTTGCAATCTTCAGAACAAGGTCTTCTTGACAATGCATCTGCGTTGCCATGAGATTTCCCGCTACGATGTTCGATCACAAAGTCTATTCCTGAAGTAGTTCAATTCACCTCGCAACATGTCCTTCTGGCTTTTTGAACTGCAATGGCCATTTTAGTGCACCATGGTCAGTTCGTAAGTGAAATTTTCGCCCCAGTAGATATTTGCTAAAATGCTGCAACGACTTTACCACAGCTAGCAATTCGCGTCTTGTGACACAATAGTTCCTTTCCGGTTTCGACAACGACCTACTAACTACCTGCTGAAGTATATCTGCAAATTTGTTCACAAATTGCCGATAATAGGAGCACAAACCCGAAAACGCTCTAACCTGCGTCTTGTCTTTTGGAACCGGCCAATCCTTGACAGCGGCGATTTTCTCCGGATCCGTGCGGATACCTTCTTCCGACACCACACACCCCAAAAGTTGAACTTGCTGTTTCAATAGTGAACATTTCTTCGGACTCAACTTGCGGTTGGCACTCTGAATCTTCATGAGCACGCGTTCAGGCATCGCCAATTAGCCCGGTAAGTATATATATATATATATATATATATATATATATATAATATCATATAGATATATGATATTATATGTCAATTTATTTATTTATCAATAAGGATTAAGGGCCACAAACGCGCGCAACACATGTTTGCTGTAGCTAGCATATGAAGTGACGCTAAGAAACACGACATCACTGTCGACCAAGTTTGTTTTAATCGGTGTTCGGTAATTAAAGTGTCAACTTTAGTGATTCAGTCGGCAGTTTTTATTGTCACGAACCTTAAGCTCATAGCAATATAAAGCTGTTGAACGCTGAGAATAAAGAGATAAATTTACGAGGTGAAGAAGTACAACTGTATTTACATTTCCGAAAAAAATGATACATTTCAACAAAAGCCCGCCTACTTCGTGTATCCAAGCTAGTTTTAAAATAACATCTCAAAAAAGCACACCTCTTCAGCTAAAAAAGAAGCTTACCAAAACTAACAAAAAATTTCTTAAGCTTGATAAAATGAATATTTTA